CTCCTGCTCAAGAGGCCGCAGTATTTGTAGGATGCAGTCGCCATGCTATCGCATACCTATGAAACTTTACGCCCCCCCTTCATCAGGGAATGTCACACTTGATGCAATGCCTGTTTGACGGCCGACATTTGCGCCGTTAATTGTTGCAATTTTATAACATGTGTTAATGATTGCTCCACCATCTAACCCACCGCCCCTGACGTTAGGGACAATGTTCGTCTGTGCGCTGCCCGCGTATCTCATTACTCCGCACCGAGTTTGGAAGGGGAGCGTCGTTGAACTTCTTAATAAACTAAAGTCCGGAGAACCATGACTCACGCAGATCCCAGCTCACGCGGTTGCCACCTCTAGCGAGAATTGCAGCCTCGTTTAATTTGAATGTGTGGCCGGATCTGGTCGAATGAGCCGCAACTTGAGATCTGACGTCATTTCTCCGTGCCGCTGCAGCGCGTTTGACCATTCGCGTTCGGAGCAGGCTTCCGGTTTCTCCGATATAGTTGCTTTGTCCGCAACTGCACCTGAGCCAATAAACAAAAGACGTTTCCTGCCATGACAGCGGGTCTTTTGGTTTGATCTCCCAACCCCTGATGGTTGCCTCCGATCTGTGCTCAAATCTAACCCTAGGTGATCCGAGAAGGCGATCGAGTGATTTAGATACGTTCTTGACATAGAGAAGCATTCGTCAAAATTTGGGGCCCGTGAGGTTTGGCTTTCGATCTTTCTGCATACGCATCAGTTGCCAAAGTTGTACGGGTAGCTGTTGGCTTTGAGATGCATCAAAGTTAATGTAGACCGGTAACACTGTCTTCTGGTTCAGTGCAATGCGTTTTGACATGCCCATAGGGCGTGCTTAAATAAACGCGTTTTTGGCTGATAGGGTGGTTGCTGTAGAGGTTTAGTCCTTGCATCGTATTTATCGAGTTCTTGAACGCTTCGCTCTTTAGGCCATCACAATGTTTGCGGCATACGTGGACACCTAGGAAGGCCATCTTGTCGTCCGCTTCCTTCTCCGTCGTACACTCAATGCCCAGGAAGAACGAGTTGGACGTTCTTTCGATGTCAGCAGCTAACCCGCTCGATAACGACGAAAATGTCATCCACATACCGGGCTCAGAATTTCGGTTTGTGGTGTTGAAAGCAACGAAAGGAGAGGCAATGTCATTGGTAAAGATTAGATCTAAAATGCGATTATCTGTTGTTGGAGAGCGCACCAGTTGGGACCAGTTAGAATAATTGACAATATCTTGAAATGTTTGGAATCTAGGTGGACAGATATTAGAAACCCGGTCTATTTCACGATATCGTATAATCGGCTCAAAGTCATACATACAACTGCAAAAAGCTTTCCCTGGCAGATTACTGGCTGCTGATTATGGACAAGGAAATATCGGAACGCTTTGACAAAGGGATACTGCAGACGCAACTATCCGCCATTAAGGCAGGAGATCAAAAAAATTCGTAAACCCAACTATTTAAATTCCACGAAATATCTGATTTTTTTTAAAACCCCTTTCGCTTACACGCTGTTGCCCTCAAGTGCGTCGCTCTCTACTTGGTGAAACATTTGAGATTACTTTACTCTCTTTTCCTAAATACACACAGTGCTGATGGAAGTCAGCCTGTGCCAGATGCTGTAAGCATTTTTACGCATAAAACTATTTGCAAATGCTTTCTGCATGTGAAGAGAACGTGGACAAAATTGATTGCCTTAGTGTCTGCCATATTGTCTTCGTGAATTGTGTCACTAACTGTACACGCGAAACGGGTTTAATCTAAAGACTAACATGAAAGCGTAAATAGTTACTCGTGCAACATAATTTCACGCTCCCCGCCCCCTTTTCTCGTGCTAACAGTCTTAGGCAATTTTGACATCCTAATCGAATTTATACAAGTTACAGCAAGGTATTTTTCAAAGGTAAGTCCTTTGTTAATTGTGCTACGACCGACTTCACCCGTCTGGTGTGTCAGTCCGTCATCAATTGGTTAATGTGAAGTGTTACCGACAGAGAGAGAGGAACGCCGGAATGGCTATTTTCGGTTTATTCACCGCCATCAACCGACGAAAGCGCGTTACGGACGAAATCCTGTTTATACGCAGTATTAAATACAATACGTTTGAATCACTTCAGACATTATGTGCACCGTACTACTGTTGTGATCAGGAATCTGAAAACTTACATTGGAGTGGCGTGAAATAGTTTACAATTCAGTAGTGTAACTTCATGGTAAATAAAATAACCCATGTCTTAACAATTTCATAGATAGTGAGATTAAAAAAGAAAGCTAAATAAGCTTGCGGATGCAGAAAAATTGAAATGGTCTTTAAATGGAAATATATGATATTAAACATTAAGCATAATTTTCTCCAGAAATCATTTACACCGTAGAAGACTGATTGAATAAGTTGAAGGAAGCATTTTATTCTAGAGATATGGCGGTTGCAAAGGTCCGTTTGATGAGACTTATGCGGTTTTTTTTCAGGCAAGCACATTCTTGCACGGGATTACAGTGATATTGTATCTAGATTTTCAAGGGTTTGTTTAAACAGCCTTTTCAAATAGCATGTCACAATTAAATTCATCATTGGGTCTGGCCTATGGCCGATCAAAGGAGGTGCAACTATGCTGTAGCTCAGCCAGCATAGTATCTTTCTGGGAGGATAGCATACGTTTAACTAAGCTTCGTCTGATGTACGAAGTTAGTATGAAACCAGGCATTTGGCCCACCACTAAAATGTTGCAGTTTGGGATTTCTTAGGTCAACCGTCAAAGAATTCAGGGTGAATTCAGTAGATGTCTAGGAGAGAAATAATATTAGTATCAGGCAGCGATTTTGAAATTGCGGTTTGGGCGCACTGTACCCGGACATGTCTGCTTATCTGAACTTCCAAATATTAATGACAGCGGTCATGAGTATGCTCAGAAGTGGAAAATGCACGTTGAGACTGACGTTCGGAAGATTGGCGAATGAAGTTATCGCTCATCTTGTCCGCCAAAATCGAACGATTCCCAGCACTGAGCGACAGATTTAAATCCTTAAAGTAGTAACAGATTCGAAAACGGTTTAAGAGGCTTCATAGGTAAGAATCCATGTGGGTCTCTATGTTTGCCATGGAAATGAAGCGCATAATACTTAGTGTACGGGGGTTTGTAGCAATCCTGCGGTAAGCACATTTTTACGCTTACGGAGCTTAAGACGTTCTTGTTTTGATGGGCACCCTAACACTGCGTGTGCGGGCTTTGGAGTGCGCGGGGTTATGCCGTAGGCAGTTTGCCCAATGGTCAGATTGCGTAGAAGGTCAACAAATGCATCACCATCGCCTGTACATGAGCATGTCCATGCTTGCGGGTGCTTCAGACTTCTCAGGATAAAAGATGTGTCACTAAACGGTGCTTTTTGATTGATGATCACCATAGATTGTTTTCAATTTGAGTTAAGCGGTTATTAATGGCAATATTTTAGAAGGTCTTAATACTCATGAGGTTTGCAGCGAAGACGTTTTTAACCACAATGCTCACAGCTTATAACATGTGACTTGAAAACCTCCGTCTCAGTATTTTTACCGCTCCACGAGACAGAAGTCAGTTCGATCATTATACAGGTCTCTGGCTTTCTGCGTACACCTAGCATGCGTTTTGAACTACTATTGGCACCGAAGATGTCCCACCAGGTATTTCCCAGTGCTGATCTGATTGCAGATAGTTTAAGTGAGATATCTGCACCGAATTATAAGAACAATCCTCACGGTGAGAGGTTGCGTGTCTTTATGACTACCTTTTTTATTTACATCTTAGCGATGTGCGTTTATAAACGGTAGAAATTCAGTCAGGCCGTCATAATCATGGGAGGTTGCTATTTCTGCTGCCAAATAGGCAATTTGGCTATTCAAAGTTAACCGCACGCAGCAAAAGAAGAGTAGTGTCAATTCAGAGCCCACTGTCAGGCGTTAATATTTAGATATGGTCAAAATACTTATTTCGGTTTTGGAAACTTTAACATACTGACTGACATATTGCGAGTTGTGGTTTTGGTGCGACTTATGTTCGAACTGGATAATCGATTATCGTTGTTACGACGGTTTATTGCAGCTGAATGTAAGAGCTGTTAGTAAACGGCCAGAATATGTGATGGGTTTTGGAGGACAATTAATATCCGCCTTTCAGTCGTCAAATTCACAATGGAAAAGATAGCATGGAACAATTTTCTTTTATTTTTAAACACACAAGCAGCATCATGAATTGATAAGTCAGATTTAACCGCCAAAAGTGTGGATGTTTCTGTTTGATTCCTCATCAAGTAAAGTGCTTATCAATTGCTCTCACGATTTTTTGTCGATAGAATGTATTTCTCAATGAGGAAGAACAACAAAAGCATCACCGGGACCTACAAAAAACAGCAACAATGCACGTTTTTAAGGTTTGCTGGTATATTTAAAGTGCATAATCAAGCATAATAACTTTGTACGCACTATCCCACTCTGTCAGGGGCATTTAGGTAGTATCTTAGCATGGAGAGTGCATCATCATGTAACCTTACATCAAGGAAATGGTTGACGTACAACTATTGCATGAATCCTAATTCAGGGCAAGTTTAATGTTCACACTTGGCTGACACTGTTAGGTTGGAATTAAAAGAAAACTGCGTGAGGGCATTTACACCGTTATTCTAGCATCTGTTTCCAGGACAGCAAGTCCACAACGCCAGAAGTGATTAAACGACAACCCACTTCAGAGTCATCTAGGGCGTTTGGCGTAGTCTGCTGTAGACGGAGTAGTCACCAGGTCATGGGTGGCAGAGGCAGACGAACTGTTTAGATTTGCTAGTCACTCCGCTAATCCCACCCCCATCAGTCATGACTTTGCGGAATTGGGGAGTGAGGCAAATGCAGTTCATATCGGCTTGTAGCGGCTAAGCGGTGATGGTGTACGCTCAGTGCGCCACAACTTCAAGCCATATCCCAAGTTGTTAGAGGCGAGACGCCAGTTGAAAAGGAAAATGATCTATTTGTTCTGCACAGAATAAGGAATGGAAGGTGGCAACCGGACGAGGATGCGTCCGGCGCCGCGGATGCGGCGTCCGCGAGAGCGACGAGCCGTGTGTCGCCGGCCGCCGCTGCAAAAGTGTCGTGGCAAATTGTTTGCGCTAGTGTTCTGGGCTGCTTCTGCCAGTGTACCAATCAGCGAGAGGAGGTGCGTTGAAGGCTCCGAGGGTAGCGACAAGCCTCGCATGGTGCAGGCAGAGATTCGACCAGGTGCGTGGTGCGGACAGTGAATTGCAAAGAGACAAATCGAAGCCGGGCAGACCTGCGTGCCGCAGCAGGCTGTCGCTAGGACGTAGGTGCAGGCGCTAGCGAGAGACGCGACGTTGTCACTAGGGCTGTCCACTAAAGGCTTACCAGCGCAAACTTTAATGCACCGTTCCCGCTGCTGGCGCATTTCATGAAGAAGCCGTGCGTACCATCTAGCAAATCAAATGGCCTGCCATCTGGTCTTCCACCACCACATGTCTGACGCATGATTACACAAAATTGCGCACTTGGCAAGCGAATGTTGTACCAATGGCTGGCAGCATTACCGTGAAAATGGAGCGCTATACGTATGGCTCTTGTTGAGTAGCATGAAGATCTGACAAAATATCTGGGATTAAAGTAGCGTCGGTAAACTTTCGCGCCTGAATAACCGGAAGAACAGAGATTGTTTCGACAACATAATGCATGCTGACTGGCGTTCTACCCCTGGCAGTTCCGTTGCTTGAAATTCTCTGACAAGGGCGTCAGTATAGAAAGTGGCGAAATTGCGCGTAGATTCTCAACGCTTAGTTGTAAATATTTTACCCGAAAACAAAGAAAATCTTGCACACAGACTTGAAATCATCCTCTTTGTTCAAACTGCGCATTTACCTGGCTATTCCTGTTCCGCAATGATAGATGTAAAGTGTAGCCGTCACGAAATGAAGGGCGAATTAAATAACTCTTCAAAAGAAGTACGTCGAAATCTCAAAATGACAGAAACAAATCCCATGTAATAGTAATTCTGATTTACTTCCTTGAGTATCGGCCGGGCACTCTTGACTTGTTGTCGGAATAGAGCATAAATTTTTGTCGCTAAGCACACACACTTAGACTGTCAAGGTAGTTGAAAACGGAGAAAGAAAGGCAAAAAACGAGTTTAACTAAATCTATCCGTATTAACAAATCCCCTTGAAGTTGCTGCAAATTTTTCTATAATTAATTGCACATGCTTTAAATAATTTTAAAAAAACATAAATTACAAACTTACTACGCCAACATAAGTAATCAATCCCATTATCAAAAAGTTGGTCCAGAAGCCGGAAACCACTTCTGCGATATCTAGCAGAAATCAGAATAAGACATATATTTCAAGACTGCAGCACTGATATTCCTTTACGTAGAGTAGAAATTGTGGGTTTTGATAAATTTTGGCAGTTGCAATTTAGGATTCTGCCGACTACTAAACATCTTAATATATACACTGCGCCAACAATTTTTGTTTTCTTAAAGTAAAACATGATAAAAAGCGGTGATTTAAGCAAGAATTTCACTTAGAAGAATATACTTTGACCAAACGCTAATTTAACCCTAGCACGCCGTATTCAGGCATTCTAGTATAAGTATAGCACGTGTATCTGAGCTTTCAGCAAATACCTGTGTTGATAATACTGTAAATAATTACATAATTGTATACCACTCGCTGCCTGTTAGCGGTTGGTGAATACCATGCGGTCTTTCCGCAGTAGCTGATGGAGCTCAGCTCAATAATTCATCCCAAGTTTCAGACCGTGCATGAAAAGGTCATTTCCAAAGGATTTACGCTAACTTTGCATATTCATTTCCTCGGAAATAGAACAAAGCAACAAAGGTATTGTCTGAAAAATAATTTAACAAGTAAATTTGTTTGAGGCACTTGAATTTACCAGGCAGTTGGCAGTTATGTCGCCTATGATCACTTAAAAATGAGGGACCATTAGCGTACGTCCTATTAATTTAAAGCAAATCAAACTCAAGTTATCTGTACTTTTGATTGCCGACCAGGACATCGATCTATCACAGAACCTCAGAGCTATTGCAGTGGCATTAATTGTGCCTCGGTCGTTTGCAGAAAACGTTCAAGTATGTCATACATAATTAAACTTGACTTCAAACTGATACGTGATTTTTTAACGATTTGTCGAAAAACGATATATGCATAAATCTGCACCGACATGGGTAAGACCGACTGAATTCACGATAAGCACGTCAAAATCGACATGTGCAACCGCTGTATCAACCCGGCAACAAACGACAATCCATAGGATGACATTAAATGTGAAGTGTCCTTTATAGTTGGCTTACATAACTACCCTACCTACTCTGAATTATTCGTTGTTCATTTGTTAAGAAACTGCAATCCGATTTGAACCATCACCTGCGCGAACCAGGGTCTGACCATTTGACGATCCCAAATGCATGCACCTGGGACAACCCACAAGATAAAGAGGAAGTTTACCTATATTGTGGCTAGCTGGGCTGGCTTGAATAAAGGCTGAGACGGCGGATGGGACGAGGCCAGTATACATAATGTCCGTGGACTGCGTATTAGGCATAAGCTTGTCATGAAACGAAACATCGTGGCCTCCGGGGAACTCTGCCATTAAGTGGAGTGATTTTCGTGAGTCGCCAATGGACGTGGAATTCAGAGTCGAGGCTGTGGTATCACTTGAATTCCGAGCGCCTAATGCTGTTGTAAAGAAGAAAGCGAGATGGTCGTTAGGTAGGCGTTGACTAGCCTCGCATTGACGCTCGATGAAGAAGTTTTATAAAAGAGGCATGAAATGTAATTGGAAATGTCATTGTCTGCTATGTATCACGCGTGGCTACAAAATAAAGGGGCGCTAGGACTTTGCAGGTACCAAGCTATAAACCAGCCCTATGCTCTTGGACGACGCTGAGAGGGTTACACAGTCGATTCAGTTACCCCACGAAGCCTCAACCCATATTCCACAAGGGACACGTCTTGTCCGTTGGGTCGTTTGACAATATCGCCTTTGTCGGATATTAACCGCAGGTACTGACATCCGTCTCGGCCGCACAGGCAACGTATCCTTGGCTGCAGCGACTTTGTTAGAGCATCCATTTCGTCTTCTTTCTTGTATATTTTAAAATTTCCGTTTCAGCCGACCTTTCTTCCATCGCGACCTTATCAGACATCCTAAGTAAATACATTATCCTTATCGCTGATGACCAGTCTTTGCCTATTTCCGATCTGCATACTGTTGAGATACAGGGATATTTTGCGACAGCTTTATAATCCTAATACCGAGGTTTAATGAACTGTGACTGCTGATTGGAGTTGTTGAGTTTTTGGGTGAAAATGCGGTTATAAAGTTATTTTCGAAAGCCTGGTTTGTTGGAGAAGGCCACGCGCGTTGGTCTACAAATAGAACGTAGCCAGCATACATGTTGACTTACAATTTGTAGTCATACATGAGCGCTAAGGTCTACGCAGTGAAAGTCCTTAAAGATAACCAGACATTGAATAGGGCTGGGTATGTTGTGCGGATGTCACATTTGACTAACGACCGCTCCGTCATTAAGCCCGTTAAATTGGCAAGAGCCTGAGAATCAAGAGCGTGGATCTGAAAAAGAAGCGAACGCTGGAACAATTGTTCGCTTCTTCTGCTTCCTCTTATCAGCTAGTTCCTGGAACTCGCATCTTCGCTTGTATCGGCAATCAAGAATGTTTTAGAAGTACCGCCGTCTAGCCCTGTCATAAACGTTTTCAGCACGTCAGCCAGAAAACGCAAGCCGAAGCTGTTTCTAGCAGGATTATGGTCGTGCAACTGCTTAAATATCTGGTAAAAGTGCTACTCAGATACGCTTTTTTGCATAGCATTTGCCAAAATGGATCGTTTTCACACATAGGTGTATCACGGTTCAAGAAAAGACAAGCTGTTTGTGAAAGACCTTCACTCGGTTCGGTTTTCCCAGTCCTTCGAGGACCACTTAAGAAATTATCATTATCGGTTATCAAATCACTTCAAAATGAGACATTGATTCCAAATATATTAAACCGCAGTTGAAAACATACTGAGAACGTACGCATAATTTTTGGACATCCACGCAGAATGTACATTGCGAGAAAGATATACAGGGTGCGGAACATTCTGGGTTAATAGAACACTCTTGGCGGAGGGAGCTGCTAGGACAGATGTTAGATGACTTCTATTGGAGCTATATATGTGTCGATGTCACCAAAAAACCTAACTGACGCGCATTTAAACCTGCGACGATTGGTACACCTGTTTCCGCTTGAGTATTCACCACTTTCCTGATCGTGGTGTCGCACGTGACTCTCAACAATAGTTATTTATCCCATGGAGCTGTATAGGACGCTCACACCAAAAGCCGCCACATTCTAGCATTAACTCTGCAAACCTCATCAACCCTATGGACTCACGAATTAAAAGGTGATCCACGCAACTACTATGAAGAACTATTGAACTCAATCATCCCCGACCTACAGTTCACGATGGAAGAAGAAGTGGAGAGCAAACTTTCATTTTTGGATGATCTCATCTGCCGCCAACCAGACGGTAAACTGGCAACGTCAGTCTACAGAAAACCGACGAACACGCTGCAAGTGCTCAGTTACAACAGCAACCACCCACTGCAACACAAACGAAGCTATGTACGCACACTATACCGACGGGTGGAAACTCATTGCAGCACTCCAGTCACCAAACTGGACGAGATGAAGCTCCTGCAAGAAATCTTCAGAGCCAACGGCTATCCGCGAACATTCGTTGAACGGAGCCGAAAGCAACCAAGGAAGCGGAATGAAAAACCTATTCAGCCAAAATCGTGGCGAAGCATTCCATACATGAAAGGGGTCTCCGAAGCCGTAGCCAGATCCCTCGCGCCGCTTGGAATAGGCGCTGCCCACAGGCCCGACTCAACAATCCGCCGGCAATTGATGCGGCCAAAAGACCCGATCCCTAAACAGGAGATGTCGGCTGTTGTCTACCGACTTCAGTACAGCTGCGGAATTTGTAACTACGTTGGGGAAACCGGCCGACGGCTGCAAACGCGCATGCACGAGCATAAGTTGGCCGTGCGAAGGTTGGACCCAAAGTCGGAGGTAGCAACCCATGCCGCCCAAATGGGACACGTCTTCAACTTTGACGCCGTTGAAATTGTGGGCCGAGTAGATGATCATACGGTAAGGCAGGTGCAAGAAGCCTGGATGTCTACCGACTGCTCTGTCAACCGCCACATCAATTTGCCTCCCCCTTATCTGGTTTTACGGACATTCTTGACGGGGGACAGTCACGGCGCGGGACAATCGGAGCCGCCAATTATCACCGCGACCGGCGAAGATGGGCGGGATTCAGGTCACGGTGACATGCGGGTCGGATGCAGCCACGCAGGCGGTATTGATGGGCCAGGCTTTGAACACAGTGCGCCATAAAAGGATAGCTGTGTGCACGACTGCTCAGTCTTTGAAGATGGGTAGAAGAAACGACTACCCGAAACGTCAGACCTCAAATACACCTCTCCCGGTGAACGCCTCCTCTTCTTTTGACAGCTTGGATGCTTTTCATTTAAGGGAGTGTAATCTGACTTCGGAAGTTTTACCTAGCAATACATGTCGCATTAAAAAATTCATAGTTGTTTGAAGAAAACCGTGAGAAAGTGATTGCGAGTAAAGATTCTATTCATAGAAAACAAAGTACCCAATCGAATTTTAATAGGCGGGCTTGTGAACATGAGTGATCTGCTCTAAAACGCAAAAACAACCCCTTCAGACAATCCCCAGTTTAAAACTGCCGATATTGCCCTGCCATTTACAAACCCGCAATGCCTGGCCGTCGAAGTGAGTAAAAATTAATTATCATTTTCAATTTATTACACATGTATGTATGTTTCATACGACATATTTTATTTTCATACTTAGCACAAAAAGAGGTTGGAGAAAACATTAAGATTTTGGACAATTTTCAGTACATATAAGACCACTATTCTACAAGTGCATCATCGTCCAACGCAGAATACGAGCAGGCAAAATCATGAAAAGGGATTTAGACCCTCCTAGTATGCTGACGACGACCCAGTTACATATATGCATATATATTCAATTAGTAATTGACGCAAACCGATCTGTTGGCTTCAATAAGCCGACAAGCTCCGTATTGGTGGCAAAAGTCAAGAACAGGCAACCAATTACTGGGCCAACGTCTGCCAAGTCATCATAGCAGCAAAAAAGACGACAGAGAATGTGGGTAGAATGATAAAGTACTGTTTCGGGATTATTTTGCCTTCATTCAGTCCATCATGGCCCGGACCAGTGCTGGGACCAGAAACACAAGCCTGCGCATAGACGCCCCCGGCGCATTTGGTCTATCACTTGGGTCTAACAGTAAAGACAATAGTTCGGTTTTCGCCGATTCCTGATTAAATAATTACTCGTACCACAGCGACAAAGAATGACATGTTGCGAGGAACTGATGAAATTCGATTCGTGAAAAACAATTGAATACATTTCGATCTTCAGTTTTCTAAGCCGGCCGCACACTTTGATAGGCACTGTGCTGAGCTTCTATTAGATTCTTTAAGATGAGGTTTTTGTTGAAGGTACTTATCGAGGTAATTCATTATTAATTAAAACCACTTTATGTAGAATGGCGTATGCATCATATGTGTGAACTTCACAAACAGACACTAAATTCGCTGTACAGAGAGAAAATCTTGGACCACTAACCTTGGTTTACTGAAAACTTACTAGAACGTTTTACCTTTAAAAGGTTTTACAAGAGATTCCACTGACCGATGTCTACGTCCCCTGGGTTTTCCATAATTAACTTATTAAAAAATTGCAACGTTTGGCTAAATCATTTACGTCCCTGAAACGTACTGATAATTCCTAGACTGTAGACGGACAAAACCAGTTTTCTCACGCGATATAAGAACCATTGTCAGGTTTCCTTACAGTATTCTCCGAACTACGAGAAAAAGTGGTTAGCAGAGTGATATTTTTAATGATTGGATGTCACTAAATTGATAATGCTCCGTCCGTTCCGTTTCTATCTTGCCTATCATCATAATCCACATCATATTCGGCGTCTCACCACATGCATAAAATTTAGCACAAACACTTGCTGATTGGTATTTTCCTGGCTGCTTACGTGGTATTCGTAAATGACAGGCACACCTCTTACCGTTTAAACAAACGATTGAATATCAGTATTATTAATGCTTTCCAGCGCATAAAGGACCCACGGATGAAGTCACGGCTTTTTAAGTTGATACTCTTTTTTTCAAAAAAATAGTCCAGATATCATACATTTCTGCTCATATTTTTTATCTTTGGCTTAATAATATTATTAAAAGCATGCTCTCTCTACAACAAAGACTTTTTTGAACAGTGTTGGCGAATTGTTCAAAACCAAAACCCTCTACCGCCATCACGCTTGCAGAATTAGCTCTCATACCGTCGTTTGCAGAGTTTGATAGAATAATCTGCTTTAAGACGATGTATTTGGTATAAATTAGAAAAACATATCATGCGTCTGTGTAAACAAGCACTATAAATACATCTCATTCAGTCTGCAAATGGTTTTCTTTACAGCTCTTTTGTTTGCAGAGAATGCCAAAACCTCATATGCATTTGACAGACAAGAAAACTGAGCAGAGCAATAACTGGACTAAGTGTGTTAAATGAGCACAGCATCTCGCAAACGAAAGTATTTACGGACAAACGGAAAAGGACCTATGAGGATAAAACAACAAATTAGGTAAACGGTAAACGAAAAAGGGTTAATGTAGGAGGATTAGGCACTATTGCCTAACTCGTCATAATCTCGAAATACTTCGATTTTTATAAAAGACACCAGGTTAGATGCTGATGATACTCGAAAAACGTTTTCGGTGGCAAATCTGGACGTCAGAATATAAGTGTCATGCATAGGCAGTGAGAACAGAAAAAAAGTAAATCATATTGTAAAAGGAAATTATCTAAGTTTCTAGGTGCATTTAGGATTGCTTTTTTAATATTTATGGTAGTTCCCAAGCCAAAGTTTTGCATTCCATTTTTTGTTGAAATTTAGAGAAAGGGTTGTCTGGTGTTTAATGCAGGATAGAGCAAAATGAGAGGTTGTTTATTTTGTGATTCAGCTCTGCCTCACTGAAACGATGGCTGTTATTACCGGTTTTTATAAATATTCCGTTTTTTAGACAATTTAAGGATGGGTCCGTGCATGTTAAAAAAATTATAAATTACCAACGCTGGTAGACCAAACAACAGAATTGTCACTTGTACTATTTAGAAGCAAGTTTCTTTAAAATTAAACAAACGACTGATAATTTTATAGGCGAAAAGACAAAACTGTGAAGGTAAAATTTGCATTTGGCGATGAGGTTACTCAAAGTGAAATCTGTGGCATTGTAGTGATCTTATCAATTGATAACTTGTCAATGTCAGTGACCAACGCAAACGATTATTTATTAAGATGGAATGATTTTCTAGGCCAAAAATGCAACTTTAGGTAATTTCCTTGACCAGATTGTCACGCAAAGCGCAGTTTCAAACGTGAGGAAAAAACGTCGAAAGCTAGTGATACGACGCTTATCGGCAGAAGGCAGATTTGTGGACCACTGTTAGTCAAATGGTGATTCTCAGTACACATCTTCAACACGCTTATTGCTGCCAAATTTTTGTGAAACTAACATATAGAAAATAAATAAAATTCGATCGACTCATTCTTGATTATCATTCTCAAGTGCAGTAATGCATTTTGCAAGAAAATATGCACAGCGTAATACAGAATTATTAACATTAATATTTATTGCAAGATTTATGCGAAGCGTCCGCCAATATCGGAAAACATCACGATTAGAAAGAAACCCTATTGAACACATTGCAGTTTTCAGGGAATCCTCTCAGTAAACTTCTTCAGCGTCAGCAGATCTCAATTGTCACGGCCGTCCACAAGGACACCAAGAAAGGGCGAATTTTAGCAAGTGCTAAGAAATAAATGATACACTGTTTTTGGACATTTCTATAGTATAACTATACGTTCACTCGTTTCTGTGAGGCAAGCTATTGTAATGAAACTACTAAGTGATTATCCCAGCAACAACGATGGTGGCAATCTATCTTGCTTAATCACTATATATAACCGTCTATCTCTAAATCACTTCTGTCTACTTAGTCAACAACAGTGGAGGGGAAGACGTTAAAAATGACTTAGAAATAATCTGTAAACTCCCGGTGAGACATTGTAAGTTCCTGCACCAACAGACACTTGTGGCGGCAGAGTTGATAGTAATACGGCTAGTCATAACAAAACATGTGCGTAAAGAAGGCGTTTATTAAAGCTTTCAGATGCGCCGGCCCAAGCTGACCCTAGAATACCTATATTCGCATCCTACTAGGTTGATGTACAGAACCAGAATCACTGATAGTTTCCCAATCCGTCCATTTCCATGCCATTTATGGAATTTAATTAGCCTTACATTCTGACATCTGTGAACACTTCAACCTGCCGTTCCACAAGACAACTGTTAAATTGGTACCCTCAAGCTTTCTTACACAACGTAACTTACTTATATTTCTATACAAAACCCATGATAACTAATCGGACAATGCTTTTGCCTTATCTCATCCCCTTAATGCTTACATGGATATCGTCTCTGAAAAAGCAAATAACTGTGGTCAATTCGAAAAACTCTGGATGCATAAACTCCCTTCCGGGCCATTTATGCGCACACCATTTCGGGTGACAATTAAAGAACTAGGCATGTGGGTGACTACGATGTCCCGCCAACTATTTTTAAATGCTAATCTGAGAGGATATAATTGGGCGTATATTTTTATTTCACTATTCCCTTTGCTTCCGCGTCGATCTTATTTATCCGGGTACATTAAATTCATTTAATATAGTTTTTTATTGTTTTCATTTCTAGTACTTTACCGGGTGAAGGAAGCATAAGGAGGTCAATAAGACATGTGTCTGGATCACAAGGACATTTTCTTAGTTTTCCATGTGGAAACACGTACCCGTGTATGATTTGGCCGATATTAAGGGCGCAAATTTTACAGGATTATATCGAACATTACAGAAGTCATGAAATTTGTCGTAAGCTTTTCCGAGAAGATGGCTATGTGTATTAGGTTCATTTACTCTCCATATGAAGATGCTTCCGCGATCTAGCCTGGAACAGCAGGTTTAGGATTGCATGGTCCCGTTGGCGAAATTGTGTAAATGAATTAAAACGGCCTTCTCGAAGCTAGGGTTTACAGCGGCGGAGAACTAATGAGTTATACGGCGGAACTGGTACACTGCTCTGCGTGTGAATATATTAAAAAGGCTTACGCTGATACCGGTACTCAGTAACACATTCATAAATGTATGTTTTCATGTAATCCTGTCCAATTAGGCGACTGTGTTTAAGTCTTTAATGCAGCAATCA